GGCAGTTGTTTTTTACTTATTGCTCTATGCTACATATGGCTCGTCTTACAATATTTCACCAAGTCTGATGCCATCTGAATGCAGTGGAGAACTCAGTCCCTGCATTCATGTTCATGAAAGATCCAACCACCAGTCCTGTTGGCTTCTGTACATGGAATGGAGGATATGTGTGCATATCTTTGCCAGCAAAATGTCCTGGAAGGATTGTTCTCACCAAGGTTGCTAAATTCTCATCTCCCATTAGCAGTTCTTGTGTGGCATGCTACTATGTCTCAGGACGTTATCACACAGGGTCTAAAGCAGACAGAACCCCGTCCCATCACCGTCCCATTGCGGTTCCTTTGCCCATGTGTTCACATGACGTCACACAGAACCCCGCCCCATCCCCGTCCCATCCCCGTCCCATTGTGGATCCTTTTCCCGTGTGTTCACACGACGTCGCAGAGAACCCCGTCCCATCCCCGTCCCAATGCGGCATCATCCCCGTTCTTTTGAATGCCGGTTTCTTGGGGAATTACATTTGCGCGACCAGAATGATATCAGAATCATGCTGCTTTCATTCATTGCGGAATCACACTAGTTGCGTCTGAAAGCAATTTCCGTCTTGTGGGGTCTATACCGGTATAGTTCTGGATTGATTCCATGCAGTTTTCTTGCCGCTTTGAGACCCGCATGTGATAACGTCCTCAGAGTCAGCAGTGCTCAAGTGCCATTTCTGTGGTACTGATGCAAACTTATAACACAGGACCCTTCCCACAACACAAAAGGGTGTCTGTTTTGGAGATGGGGGAACCCAAACAATGGATTGTTAGATGCATTTTCATTTATTTTAGTTCCTTTTATTTAAGCTGCTATTTTACCCCCTGACTGTGTAATACACAGTAATACAGCATGCACGTATGTCAATTATACAACAATGGCAAATACTTTTTCTTACCTTGAGATCCAATGTTTGATCAAGGCCTAATTCACATTGTTTGGGGATGACGAGAGTTGTAGTAAAACAAATCACAGAGTTTGAAATAATGAATTACAACTGTAGGTAGTTGCTTTGGGGAATATGTAGGCAACAATTGGCTTGTTTTTCAAAAGTAAGCTAATGGGTAAGAGTAAAGTTGTTATATTTCAAAAGTAATCAAAAGTAGGCTTATTGGTTTTGAAAGAAACACTTCAAGTTTGGTGCAATTCTCCGATCAAGGGTTTTATTTTCTCTCTAAAAAGGTACAGCAATAATACAAAGTATCAAGCAATGCAACAGTGCATCAGGAGTTATTTTTTCAACATTGCAACAAACAATTACAGCAGGTTACTAATTAAACACTGTATCAAGTAATGGGAAGTGAACTTTCAAAAGTAACTTTCAAAGTTCTGGCTAAGAGCATGACAAAAGATTCTGTTTCAGGAGGTCTGATCAGAAGATGTCTTGATCTTCTCAAAGTTCAGAGGACAGTCCTGAAACTTTGAGAATGGTGACTCTAGAAATGCAAGCTAACAAAATGTTCTTTTAAAGGCAGAATAAAGAAAAAAGAGAGGCTTTGTGTTGTCAGCAGTGGTGCAGTTGTAGATAATTTTGGACTCATTTTACACTGCCTTAATCATTTTCCACCCCACTATTAGTGCCACCAATGGGGTGAGCCAGTCCTACCTACTACCAGGGCCTCGACTTCAGTTGCAAAGTCTTTTCTCAATGGCATTACTATTTACCATATGCAGGTTTTCCCAGAAACATTGCAAGATGTCTTACCATCACTCATACCATGGTCTACCTACCACTGTCCTATGTATGCTGACTGATAGAGGCTCTCCAGACCACAGTTTGAATTTTTTCCCTTTTTGGACTGTAACTCTCAGAAATCCTTGAATTATGTTGGCAGAAAGATTTGAGGAGATGTGGTCTGAAAAGTAACATTTCAAATCTGGGTTTCAGGGTTTCCGACAGTGCTCCATGGTTTGTTTTCCAGTTCTACAAGGAGATGCAGAGGATGCATTGTAGGGACTACTACATACAAAACAGGTGCATCACTAAACCTCTGTTTGTTACCTCTGATACCCACTACACCAGTGATTCCCAAACTTTGGTCTTCCAGGTGCTTTGACGCTCAGTTCCCAAAATCCCTGACCATTGGCCAAGATGGCTGAAGCTTCTGGGAGCTGAAGTCCAAAACATCTGGAGGACCAGAGTTTGGGAATCACTGCACTACACCATGTTTGTGCTAAAGACCCCAAAAGCCTGCACAGCTTCAGCAAAGACATGATGATAAATAATAGTTTCTGAGCATAAAGCTTACATGTGATCCATGACACATAGTGATGTCTTTGTCATCTATTTGTTGTTGCTGTGTGTCTTCAAGTTGTTTCTGACTTATGGTGACCCTAAGGTGGACATATCATGGGGTTTTCTTGCAAGATTTGTTCAGAGGAGATTTGCCATTGCCTTCCTCTGAGGCTGAGAGCATGTGACCTGCCCAAAGTCTTCCAATGGGTTTCATGGCTGAGCTGGGGATTGAACCCGGGTTTCCAGAGTTGTAGTTCAGTGCTGAAACCACTATGCCATGCTGACTCTCTCTACAAGCTAACAAATATTTGTGTATTATTAAATGTCTTTTAATAGTAGGGGTGCAGACTGTGGTTTTTAAAACTGGGAAGTATATCATTTAAGGTAGAAGGGATGAAGTGATCATGTCTTGAAGCACAAGGGGCCCTTAGTTATGACCTTTATCATAAGTGTTGAATGAAGTACATTAGCCTTATGTAGCCTCTGGGGCCTAAATGGAGCAGGTATGCCTTTCTTACAAACAGGAGCTGAAGCGAACCATCTCTGTGGACAATGACTATCATTGTCTACCATCAATATTCCATCCTAAGACCCGTATGTTTTTAACAGATGAGGACACTTAGTGAAAGCACTGCTTTGCCTGAAGTGGATTCCAAATGACAAAAAGGGGGGACATGCCCTTAAAGCAGATGGAGGGGTGTGGGTGACTATACTGGTTTCCCAGAAGAATTTGTTGTTGTTTTTTACATCACATCAATTATGTCCGAACAACGCATTTCTAATGGAAGATGCTGGCAATAGCATTCAAGTGGATCGGAACAGATGCATAGTAGATTCTTGAGTGCTAAAAAACTTTGGTATGGGATTTTGAGATCTTAAGTACTGCACATCTCTGGGCTTTTGTACTACTAGATTTAGTTATAAAGAGGACTCAGAAGTTGTGTGAGTGTGTACATTTCATGGTGAGTATGTGCAGCTGGGAAGCTTTTTGTCTATGAAAAGGTTATTACACAAAGCTGAAAGCCGAAGCAGGAACTCCCAAGCTATCGCTAGTTAGCTGATAGCTCCAGACGCTTCATGACACTAACAGCTCCCATATGGGAGGAATGGATATCTTCTGTTACACAGTGACTCTACCAAGAACCTAGTGGTACAGGGGAAAATAAATGTTCTCTGCAGATATTTTTTTGGAGTTTTGCCCTGAAATCAAGAGTGTAAGAATATAAGGAACATCTATGTATGGAGAAGGAAAGAGGGAGGGAGGGAAAGAGGGGAAAGAGAAAGAAAGCAGAAGGAAGAGTGTTTTGGATTTGCTTTGATCCCACCTATTGCAAATGCCAGTTCTGGAGAAGGAAAAACAGAAAAAGAAAAAGAGATTGGTTGTACTGGACTGAGGAGGCTTGGGATCAAAGTCTTTGGTGACTTTGGGCCTTCTATATGTCACTCAGCCAAACCCACATCATAAAAATTTTGCCTAGATGAAAAGCAACAGCTATGTGTGCTGCCCAGAGTTCTTCAGAAGATGGAGTGGGATTTTCCCACACACACACAGTGTGTGTGTGTGTGTGTGTGTGTGTTGTGTGCCTTCAAGTCATTTCCAACTTATGATGACCCTAAGGCAAACCTATCATGGGCTTTTCTTGGCAAGATTTATTCAGAGGGAGTTTGCCATTGCCTTCCCCTGAGGCTGAGAGACTGTGACTTGCCCAAGGTCACCGAGCTGGGAATCAAACCCTAGTCTCCAGAGTCATAGTCCAATATTCAAACCACTGTAAATAAATAAAATTAATACATCACACAAAAGCAAAGGTTGACTTGCAACTGAGTGTAGTAGACATACTAGGGAGCGTTGCTTAGTGGTACTTTGATAAGCACACTTCTGTGGTGCCTCTGCTTAGAAACGCACCAGTTTCATTAGCACTTGCAACATTATTTTGAGAAAAATAATCTTTAACTGGATACATACTATTTTTAAAAAAATAAATTCATTGACCTTGCTGCTTCATTGAAGATTAGATCATGGCCCATTAGAGCAGGACCTCCAACTAGAGCATCCCCAGCAGGTAGCTAGCTGTCCATCCTCTTTTGGAAGACATCCCAAGAAGGAGATCCCAACATCTCTCAAGGTAACTGGTTCAATTGCTGAACCACTCTTACTGTCAAGAAGTTCCTTCTGCTACTCCATCGAAGTACTCTCCTATAACTTAAAACCATTTGACTTGGTTCTGTCTTTTCCAATAGCAAAGGATAGGCCTGCCTGCTTCTCCCTTAAGGTATTTAAGGAGTGCAATTGTGTGACCTCTTAGTCTTCTCTTCAGCAAGCTGAACATGCAAGCTCTTTCAACCTTTCCTCATGTTTTGTTCTCCACACCTCTTCTCATCCTTGTTGCCCTTCTCTGAACCTGCTCCACCTTCTTAAAATGAGGTGTCCAAAACCGAACAAAGAACTCCAGATGAGTTCTGGCCAGCACAGAATATAGTGGGGCTATTATTTCCCTCAATTTGGAAACTATAAGGCCATTCACACAATGTTGTTGTTTTTTTTAGCACAACTATGTGAATAATCTCAGGGCCTCAGCACACGGAGGCCCTGGAGCCGCCGCCAGACAGAGTGCCGCGGGGATGCAGCCTCCGCATCCTGGCGCTCCTGCGGCGGCTCTGGAAGGAGCGCTAAATCAGCGCTCCTTCCTCAAGACAGGGAAAGTGCGCCCTAAAAGCGGCGGGCGCACTTTCCCTGACTCAAACGCCGCGGCGCATCTGGTCGCTGCAGCATGAGGTCATCCCCGGAGCGCCGGCCGTGCGAACGGCCGGCGACTCCGAGGGCAACCTCAGGAAGAGGAAGGGGCGCCGCTCGTGCGGCTGCCCCTCCTCTTCAGGGCCTCGAAGACGACCCTATTAGTCGTCTGCCGAGGCCCTCACTCACATATTCCAGGTTTGTTGTTCACATTATGGAAGTGCATCTGTGCCCATCTTTGCCAGTACGATTGCTCACATGTGTCAGCACTTGAATAATGATGGAGTTGATAATGCAAATGTATTCAAAGCACATTTAATGCATGTAGAGTTTAATCCTGGTTTATCCCAGATCCATTTGCACCAGTTATTCACACAGCTGAGAATCCAAATCTTTTAGGAAAACTCAATAAAAATCTGTCATTCCCAGTTAAGTGGGGGTTTTTTTGGGGGGGTTGCCCCCTCTAAAAAAAACCCACCTTAACCAGACGTTCAACCCAGATTCTACATGGATTATTTTCATCGTCTGAATAACCTCTATGCTTCTATTAATGCAGGCTAAAATAGCATTTACCTTGCTTTTCTGGGTTGAAATGGTGCTGTGCTACTGGAATCCATGAGAGTTATCCTGAGAGATGCTGGTGCTGGCTGTGGTGATCACCAGTGTTTGGGATTTAATCCAAGCAAAACTTGCCTCCTGGATATGGGAAGCTCAGAGAAGTACCCCATATGTGTCAAATTCCTGTTCCTAATGGCAGGTGACAAAATACTATCATCCTGAATGAATGGGACACAGGACCATACTGACCATTGCTCAACCCCACCTCAACCCATGTTAAAGGACCTTTGCTGAGAATATGGACTAAATATAGATTTAGACTTTGTTCTTAAAT